AAAAAAAATTATATAAAAAATTACCTCTAAATTCCTTATTTTTATTATACGAGCGGATGGAGTTTAATAGAAACCCAGCAAGCTAAATTCCTGAACAAACATGCCCCCACGCTTATTTTGTTGTTAATGATTCTTTTATTATTATCAACCACTTAAATAGTTTAATAATTAATTTTTTTAATTAAAAATAAAATATTTTAAATTTAAATTATATAATATATAAATAAAATAAAATAAAAAATAATTACTTTTTATTATATAATTAAAATGTAAAAAATGATTCTTTTATTATTAATACAGTATTTTTTTGAAAAAAAAAAAGCCATCGTCACATGAGCAGTGCTAGGGGCACTTGCCTTTTGCACTCTCCGGCCAACACTTCCCTCTTTATTGGGCCACGTAAGCTTGTTTCCGGCTTTGCGGTGCAACCTCTTTCTCACCGGAATAACGTGGCCCAATAAAAGTGAAAGTGTTGGCCGGAGAGTGCAGGAGGCGAGTGCCTCTAGCACTCCTCTTATCACATCACACTTCTACCTAAGGGGGAAAAAAAGATGAGAATAATTATATAAAAAAAGAGAATAATCTCGTACCTTAAATTTGCTGCCTCCCCACGAAGAGAGCACAGTGGTTTAACCACTTGCCCTACCATGTTGTTTACTTTATTGATTTTTTCTTTTGGTACAGAACCTGCCAAACTTATCGTCCTTCTTACTTTAAAATGATAAATTTCTCTGTTTAACTATTCTTGGTATTAAATCATAGAAGTCCTCATTGAAAAATATCTTTTATCGTAGAGCTTGTACTCAACTGTAAGGGCATTATTTTCATGTCTCATTCATTTGAGACTTCAAATTTTATAAGGGATTTATATTTTATAGGGTTATTTTTATTTTTATTTTAGTAATATAAGATAAAAATATATGTATTATATTTTACTATATATTTTTTTACTAGAAAAGTAACTTTTTTGTATTTGGTGTAGCTTGAAAGACTTTTCTAATATTCTTAAAATTTTGTGTTTGGTTATTAAAAAAGCACTATAGAATATTTGAACTAAAAATTGTCATATAATTGATTATATAATAAAAGAGATATAAATGGTTATAATTTTCAATATTCAATTACTTAATAATTATGAATTATAATTTGCTTATAACATTCATTTGATACATTTGGTGAGGAAATGCTTATCTTCCAATTATAATTGATTATAATAGAAAATTAGTTTTTTTTGTTTGTAATGGGTTATTATAATAATTTAATATCAAAAACAAAATAAGCTATTATAATAACAAATTAATCAATTATCAAACTTTTCCAAGATTTTTGCATCACCATTTTTTTTTTTCATTTCCAATCCTTTGTACAAAGGATTCAAAAGATAATTTTGAAACCAATCATTCGGGTCTAATAGTTCATCATCAAAATCTTAGAATTTTGATAAAATTAGTTGAAAATTTAAGTTTCACTAACTATTTGAATATATTTATACTTAACCGATGAGTCATGGGTGCTTCTCCAACCCATAGGTTAGCTCATTTCCCCTCTTCCCCTTAATTGCCTTTGTTCAAAAAAAAGAAAAAAGAGTAATTTTGGTATTTTATTGCCCCTCATCCGGCCATTTACCCAAATATATATATATATATATATA